CTTCTTGACTATTTAATTGGTAATCTGTTTCCAATGGATGTACGTGAAGAAGACCTTCTGTATTCGTCACTTGCAGACTATTTGTTATATCTTGTCACCAATCCACAGCCTAACTTAAAAACATATCACCGCTCTTCCACAGTTCAAATTTGCGTTGTCGAATTGTAAATCAACAATCTTCATGGGAAATAACCTTGCCGTGACATACTTTATTTCGTACACTGACGGACATACGTTATTTACAAAAGAAACTTGCAATTGTCCAAAAAAATGTTTTGATCTCTCCTGGCTTAGCATTCGGAGCAAAATAAAAATTACCTCTCCATGCACATTACAAATATCCCCCACAAAATTCGTCATGGATACTTTCGTTGTTAGAAAATGTTCAAATATTTCCACTCTGCTTTCATCATTAACATTGAGGACTTTAAAATACTCCTGGTCTCGAGCAATTTTGATTTCTTCCCAGTTATTGTATAGCTCTTGTAGCTCTTAGCTTAAATGCTAAACAAAATATATGTAACTCGAGGAATCGACAGCTGTTTATTGTGGACAGACATGATAAAAGAAAAAAGAGTAAAAAGCTCCTTTGTCTCTTGGCTTGAAATCCATCGTAAACGCCTAACTTTTTATTTAATGCAACTAGGAAGTGAATATATATGTGTATATAAAGATGCGTTCTGATTTCAATTCCTAACTTTGTTTTATCCGAAAATGACGTTTTTGAATGAGCTCTCTAAAATATAATTGTTCGCCTGGACCTGATGGCAACCACTCATGTGTACTTATATCTTGTGCTGGCGAGCTATGTGATGTGATCTCAAAGATTTTTAACAAGTGCTTGAATTTAGATGTTTTCTCTTTGTGTTGGAAGACTTGTTTCCTTATTCCTATTCACAAAAGTAGTAGTAGGCAACTTGTAGAGAACTACAGAGACATTGCCAAGTTGAGTGTCTTGCAAAAACTGTTCGAGCGAATTGTGGCTCAGCATATAGCCTTTTCCACGAAATCGTATATTTCTCCTCTCCAACATGGTTTTTTAAAGGGAAGATCTACGGCCACCAATCTGGTAGAGTTTACTTCTCATGTTTTCAAGGCCTTTTCTAGTGGCTCTCGCACTGATGTTATTTACACTGACTTTAGCAAAGCATTTGATATGGTTAACCATAGACTACTTACCTTTAAACTCCAAGCCTCTGGCTTACCTTTTTTCTTAGTGGAGTGGTTAAGCTCTTATCTGCATGGTAGATCATTCAGGGTTTTGTTTAAGCTCATTACCTCGGATGAATTCCCTGTGACGTCTGGCGTACCTCAAGGTAGCCACTTAGGACCCTTTTTATTTAATTTATACATCAATGATTTGCCCTCCGTGATTAAATTCAGCGAGATCCTAATGTATGCTGATGATGTGAAACTGTTTTCTTCCTTTTCCGTAGAATCGCAATCACATCATCTTCAAAGTGATTTGAACAATTTGGTTGCATGGTGCTCTTTGAATCTTCTGAAACTAAATCTTAGTAAATGTAAGAAGCTTTCTTTCTGAAGAAGAAAGTCATTCATCACTCAGTATTTCATAGATTCGCATAAGTTTGAGGATGTCGATTCAATCACAGATTTAGGCGTTCTGTTTGACCATAGGTTACGTTTCAACTTGCATATAGAGCTCTCGATAAGCAAAGCTAGATCCGCGCTTGGTTTTATAAAAAGGTGGTTCAAAGAGCTTGATGATTCCTACATTACGAAAGGGCTGTACATGTGTTTGGTTAGACCCATACTCGAGTATGCCTCTGTTGTGTGGTCTCCTTCATTTGAATCTGTTCAAAAGCAATTCTAGCTGTTTGGAAACTTGGGTTGGGATTCGATTGCCTCTCTTCCTCCCTATGAAAATAGATTGCTTCTGCTGTCCTTATCGTCTCTTGAGAAACGTAGGTTTGTTCTTGGCGTTTCCTTCGTAATCAAAGTAATAAATGGTGGTATTGACTCGCCTGCATTACTTGGTGTTCCTAACCGCTTCTCCAGGCACTTTATCTTGGTTAAGTTTAATCAATACAAATATAATTACGAACTGTTTAACCCGCTCAGAGTTGTTTGCAAGAACCTAAATGACGTCTATCACTTATTCTCATGAACTGACTCTTTAAAGTCCATTAAAGCAAAATTGCTTAATACGCGCAATTTACCTATGTCGTATTTGAATTAACTTTTAATCTTAAAAAATTATTATGAGTCGAAAGCTAATTGTTGTTAGCTATTATCGGTTGCCAAGCTTATGCATGTTTGCGATGACTTAGGGGTTCACTTGCAATTTGGTCCTGTACCAGTTGTGGGCGTGGCTCTATGCTAGTTGTGTACATGCTTTTTTTTTCCTTCTTATTTGTTTTATTGTACTTATACTAAGTTTTAATATTAATTAATTTTAAGATTTACTTAAGAGTCAATTGAACTCGACTGCCATTTTGTTTTAGTTGAGTTTCTTGTATAAGTGGAATAAACAAATAAATAAATAAATATACATATGTACTCACATTCATGATTTCACATACACTTCCATGGATGCCTATATCTGATTCCTCCGTATATATCGTATATCTTCCAAGAGTATTTTATAAGAGCAAATGATAGTATATAATATTATGCACATGTAGAAGATTAAGGGTCCGCATCCGTATCTACATTTACCCACATTGCCTGACCATGTCTCCTCACATTTAACTTTGAACACCTGTAAGCTTGTGTACATACATAGATTTGCATACAAGGCAATTAACCAGACATGTCAGCAAACTATATTCGCAGAAGGGAATTTCAGTGTAAACAATTATGAAGCTGATAATTTGTGAGAGATACATTTTTTGTATATGCTCTTGGAAAAACTTTTATACAATGGGATAATGTAGCTCGGTTTCTACAGGTATGGCAGGTAGCTATTACTTCATTATTAAAGACAGACATAAGAAGAATGCAAAGAAGTTCTGAAAATATAAGTATTAATTCCGTCTGGGCCTGAAAAGTTCGAGAACGCCATCGTACTTCTTCTTCGATCAAAAATGTAATAAACGGAAAAACATGGAAGGATTCTATAGACAATGTTGCGTTGAATGTCAACCGTAGCGTAAGATTATTGAAAAAAGTCAGGGAAAGGGGCATTTATAACAGACGCTTTTGAGATTTCTATAGTGTCCATAACCTATCACCGCAGAGAAAGTTGTAACTTTACGTCTCGAATCGATTAATTTGCGCAGATTCTTCAGGCCAATGTAAAATTGCTTTCTTGTTTTAAGTAAATAGTTCGAGTAGCATTTGTTTTTAGCAGACAAAAATCATATTTTGCGCCGGAATAATGTAAGCCGGGAACTAGTCCATTTAAGTTTTTTAGATAGTCTGGCTATTCTATTGCGAGGAACTTTTAAGAGTATGTTAAACCGTACCAGATAATCCGTTCAACATTCACAAGATATACCAGGAACGGCCTCAGAAGCAGCATATGGAAGCTTTTTCTAAATTTCCAAATACGAACTGGCGATATTGTTATAACATAAGTAGGTATAAATAGCGTTCAGCTGATAAGGACATGAATCGCAAAATCCATCAAAAAATTCTGCAAATATTGAATGGTAGAAGAGAGAAATGAGTGGTCCAAAGTCTTTATATGAATTCCAAACTAAATTAAACCCCCTAAAACTAAAATTATGTCGTGCATTCTTAGGCAGCTTACGTACACTTTATTTAAGTGGTAATATATAATACAAAACGCAGTGTAATCTATAATAAGTTAATATTTAAATAAAATATAAATAAAAAGCATAAACATTACAACGTTAATAAGCTATCTATCAAAAATATGCCTGTCCTCTTATTATCAACATTACACTATTATCCACAACTTCATGTGAACATATTTTACAATACAACGAGAGCAATTGATATATCGGATCAAATTTGCATTTATTTATAAGGATTAAACATTTCCTTGTCTGAAATCTTGTACTTTTATTTACCAAGGGTTAACTTCCCGGCTTCGGTTTCATTTGTAAATAGGTTATAATTATTTTGTAATGACCTATGTGATTCCTACAATATTATTTATTTATAAATTGTATTATTTGTCTTAAATCAATTATAACTAGACCGTTTGTCCATGTAATATAAAATAGTGGCTAGTCCGTAGGGTCTGTCCTGACTAAAAGTTTAAACTCTCCGGCTTTTCATTATAAAACATTAACAATAAAACATATAAAGGTCTACGTTTTTTGAGGATGTTTATATGATGTGATACCCAAAAAACAGACCGACATGGCTGAAATTGGCTAAGATTGATTTCAATGAAACTTACTATTATGGAAATATTAAATAGTATACTTCTTTTCTATTAGAAATTATACCTTCGTACTATAAAACATTCAATTCTGGTACGAACGGTTATATGAGAAGAGATTCAACAATCGCCCGGGCCAAAGCAAATATTTCGTATCAATTTCAAAGGACGAACTACTATTGCAAACCGAGTTTTGTGAGAACATTTTTAAAACTTCAATTTTCAAAATAAGGCGTTATATGGAGAAATAAAGATAATCACAGATCCATTTTAAAACTTAAATCCATGTGTAAATTAGGAAGAAGGTTATTAACAAACAACGTCCCAGCATTAAGAAAAGTCTCTAAGCTCCCTATTTTATGTGGCTTAATGAAATAACCACTTGTCAGCAAACTTCTTGAGAACGATAATTTTTTACAATTATTTAAGCTTAATGTTAAAAAGTCAATTGAATATTTTTTAGCCACTTTATTTAAGCCTAATTGTGAAGAACACAATAATGATCAATTTTGAAAACGGTGAACAGTTTAACGTCATCCGCATACATCGAGATGTGGGATGACTCAATGACGGATGATATAATACGAATAAGATCTGTCTCAAGTGGCTATCTAAATGCGCACCCGGCAAGACTGGAACTTGAACCGATGGAAAAGGGTTATAGAGCACTGGGGACGGTGTATTAATGAGGTAAAATCCAATTCACCTAAAAATATTAGGAAGGAAATCCGACGGCAGCAGTTTAAACAATAAATTTAATATATTCAACAATATGGGGGTAAATAGGGATCCGAAAGCTAGCGTAGGTTTTCGCTTTTCGTTTGGTTTGGGATCAGGTATGCGATGGCTTTTAGTGTTGATTGACTATCGGTGTTTTGGAATCATGTATTCAGAACAACTATTAAATACACTCTCCCATGAATTTCAAATTACACGGAAGCGAAAGAGCTTACGTTAAATATGCAATGCTCATGTTTCGTTTGGTGTATTAGTTTTTCTGAGTTAGTATAAATTACCTAGAATCGCATTTATAAGAGAAAACTGCCGTAAATTCGGAGCAAAGTAAATTTCAAACAACTTCCAAATCGAACTGTAGTATAACCTCTTCCACAAGCTTAAGTCGAGATCTTCAAAATACTATTCTTAATCAGCGATCCTCCTCTAGTTCGTTTTGTGAATAATGAAGATAATTCAACTCAATTGCACCAGTGTCCGTTATAAACTTAAACAACTCGAACAAAACCGTTACTGTGCCAATGCCTTCCCAAAATTTTCTTAAATCGCATGCTCCATTTTCAATCAAAAATTTCAACAAATTAGATTCGATCGTAATCCCAACACTTCTCTGGCGGTGGCGTAGCGATCTTTATACCTAATAAGTTTTCGCTCTGCTATGTTTCTACTTTTGTAAACTGCGATCGTATTGAAATATTGAAATATTTACAACAAGAAGATTTTATTTATTTTCATTGCTAAGGACATAGGACTAACATATGTTATTTTGTTTAACGGTGCAAAAATCTATGTATGAAGATAATCGTTAGATAAAATCCGTGTCCTTAGGTGTTAAAGTAGCGCACGCGAAAATTTTTTCAAATTTCTCTAAACATTTTCAGGCATATATTGCTTAAGAAACATTTAACAACGGTCATGCCTGCAGTTATTCAATGTTTACATAAAAATTAGAAAAAAAAATTAAATGCTTTAAAAAATCGTGCTCGTTACTCTACTTAAGAGCGCAAACCATACGCTACGGCTACCCACCACTGGCGGGTACAATTGGTTTTTCTGTTGAGTCTACTATGCAGCAAGAAGACGAGACTTTCTTTGCATAGAATTTTTATTTTAAAGCGTGCGCCGTAAATTTCATAACACTTATGTTGAATTTTTCCTTCATTTTTAGGTCCTTAACCGTTTGCACTCCTTATTTCTTTTTGTTGTTTCTGCTTACCGCTAACTGTAAATATTCGGAATATGAAACGTTTAGCGTATGGAAGGGGCGAAAAAAATATTTCATAATTATACCCTGTTATGTAGATTTATGGGGATGTATACGATGCTCAGAAGATGTCGAGATAAACCCGAATTTTATTACACTCATCGATTTCGAATCACTTCCTGAATTAAAATAACATTACCTCTTCGTCCGTCCGTCTTATGTGCGTGTATTGAACCCACAGATATTTTGATGGAATTTGGTGCACTAACGTATTTTAGTCCAAGGACGAGTGTTATTCCAAACCATTCGGATTAGACTTCTTTTTCGACCCTTTCCAAGCATCCAGACGCCTTATTTTGAAAAGTCGTTAAGTGAGTATTTGTATTAAGCGAAATGAGCCGTGACCCACAACCGTGTGTTTAATTTGATTATTTTAAATAATGTAATATCGAGTCGACATTGAAGTGGAAAGGGTTAATATAACGACTTATTTCGAGATTAGAAGGACATTGCTGTTTAAAATTCGGAAAACTTAATTATAACAAACAGAGGTGTAAATATTAGGTGTCAGATTTTATCGAAATCGGGCAAACAACTTGCTATTTATACCCTGCATTTAAAGTAAGCCAAAGGAAAGCAATGTGAGCTAATAAAATTTTGAATTAATCACAACAGTACAAGTAGAGTTGATTGTAAAAATGCGAGAAGCTAATAGTAACCAAATTTAGATGAAGTTTAAAGTATCTACCTAGCAGAACGTAATCCTTTTATAAATTTTAAATGTAAGCAAAATGTCCTATTTTTTGTTTTTTTTTTCTGCGTTAATTTAACTTCTTTTCCCGAAAAGGCCGATGAGAAGAAGAAGGTTAAGAAGAAGAAGACCAAAGAGGAGGGAGGTACTTCCGAAACCGCCTCTGAGGCTCCATCTGAGACAGCAACTCCCGCCCCAGCCGCCACTCCTGCACCAGCTTCAACAACTGGTTCAAAGAGGGCATCGGGCGGTAGCCGTGGCTCGAAAAGATCAAAGCAACGTGCCGGATCTTCTGTATTCTCAGTTTTCTCGCAAAAACAAATTACCGAATTCAAAGAAGTAAGTACCCGTAGATTAGCTTAAGCTTAGCGAAAAATTAGCAGACGATATATAAGTAAGAGAATATATTAAATACATCGATTGTGTTGATTAGGCTTTCCAACTTATGGATACTGACAAAGACGGCATTATTGGCAAGAACGATTTGCGTGCCGCTTTCGATTCGGTAGGTAAAATTGCCAGCGACAAGGAGTTGGATGCCATGTTAGGTGAAGCCTCTGGCCCGATTAATTTCACACAATTGTTAACCTTGTTCGCAAACCGTATGGCTACCTCCGGTGCTAACGATGAAGATGAAGTTGTTATTGCCGCTTTTAAATGTTTCGATAATGACGGTCTCATTGATGGTGATAAATTCCGTGAAATGTTAATGAATTTCGGTGATAAATTCACCATGAAAGAAGTCGATGATGCTTTCGATCAAATGATTATCGATGATAAAAATCAAATCGATACCGGTGCTTTGATTTCTATGCTTACCGGCAAGGAAGAGGAAGAAGAAGGCGAGGAAGGTGCTTAAATCAAACACGAACAACGATTACATTTTTTTTTTTTTTTTTTTTTGTACACTTGAGAAGAAAACCCAAATAAGCCAAGCACTTCCAATTAAAAAGAAAAAAAAAAAAAAGAAAAGAAAACACTTGATAAGAACTTTGAAAAAAAAAATTAAAAAAATATTAAAAAAAAAATATGACGAAAAACTTTTTTTGTTTTAATATATGAAAAATAAAAAACAAAATGAATTTTTAAACAAAGAAAGAAAAACTTGAAACAAATCATCGTCAGCAAAATTTGAAGACTAGAAGGCAAGAACAGAATTTTCTGCTACGGAGATGGTAAAAGAAGGAAAAAGAGCAGTGACACAACAAAAGTGGGTCTTTCAACAGGCGAACTTGTAGTTAATTTTTCTCTTTTTTGGAATTTTTTTTATGTTTTTTTTTATAATTATTAATTAAAAATATTATATATGAAAAAAAAATGAAAAAGACTAAATAGAGGAAAATTTGAACAAAACACTTTTTTTCTCTTCTTTTCTCACCATTTACTTCATTTACTTGTAATAGTAAAGTAAAGGGGTTGTTTTTGAATCTGTTTTTTTATTTATTTATTTTTTTGTTATAAATGTTTTGATGTTTTGTTGAGGAATGATTTGAGAAACTATTATACATTAATCTATAATAATAATAATAAAAGGCACAGTTTTTATTAATTTATATATATGATAATAGATAACAAGAAGAACAAACAAAAAATTAAAATTTAAGATATCGTTATATATATGTCAATTTAATGTATTGTTGAAATTAAATTACGATTTCACGATACATTTCAACTTTTTACATCAATAACATGTTTCTTGACATTTAATTTATTTGCTATGCTCGGAAGCTTAGCTACGTCGTGGGTACAATGGCCTAAGCCAAAATATTTATGGATTCCTGTTTCAATGCGTGGTGCATTTTTGCCATTATTCTTGTTCTGCAACTATTTACCAAAAGGTGTGCAGAGAACACTGCCAATTTTAATAACAAACGAATTGATCTATTGGATTATTGCGGTAGTCATGTCGTTCAGTTCCGGCTATTTAAGGTAATTAAAATGCCTAGGACTTTTCAAAAATATTGCTTGAAAATGTAAAGAAATTGTAAGGAAAGACGAAGGCTTAAAGGAAGGTCTGAGAACTGTTATCGAACAGTTTCAAATATTATTTCTCCCCTCCCCCCTCTCTCGCTCTTTCCCACTTTCCCCCTCACATTATTTTGCAAAATTTGCGGACTTTAATGCCAGAATATTTCCAAATTTTTTTTATATATATATATTATTAGTATAAAAAATTAAATATTTCTGATATATGTAAATTATTTCGGTTTATATTTCAGTTCGCTCGGCATGATGTACGCTCCAAAAACGGTATCTCCGAAATACCAAACAACAGCGGGAATGTTTGCAGCCGCTATGTTAATAACTGGAATATTTTCGGGGATTCTTTTTTCCTTTCTATTTCCATACTTTGTAATTTTTTAAATTAAAATCATTTCTCAAAATTGTTCGAATCGAGAAAATAATAAATTTTTATGTTTTAATACAATTATTAATCAGGACTATTCCGCAGAGGTGGAAATAACAACAACAACAACAACAAAATCATAATTGTTAAATTTTATTTAGGATCACCTACTATTTTTCGTTGTTTAGCCTAATAATAATCCATGTTAAAAAGAAGAAATAGAACGAAAGACTAAATTCATGTAACATCAATACCTCTCAAATTAAAATAATGACCATCACCAGAAGCGAATGCACCAAAATAAGCCTATTTCTAATCTATTTTGTATTTATTAAATATTTTATATAAACATTTTTCTATTTATTTGTTCTACAAAAAGTGCGTAACTTTTAAGCATTAAGTGTATCTTTGTTATAAATTTTTATTCACAAAAAAACACTATAATAAATATATTTTTTCAAAATCACGTTTTTGTCTTGATGCTCGTATCATAATCATACCTAACGTTATTTGTGAATGACTTCAATTGGAAAACAATTTCAGTGAAGTGAAGAGAGGAGAAGACACTATGGTTTTCCTTTGAACATATTGGAGATGTAAAAATGTTTTTTTGACTGAAGAGTTGAAATAATTTACTAAGAGGAGAATTGAGAACTGAATTAGAACTGAGAGAGTATCAGCCCCATTTAAAGTTGTTTTTCTTTTAATATTACCAGTAACTCCGTGGATGTCCCGAGTGACCCCTTATTAGTGTAACACGGTGACGGCTAGGAAGAAGAAAGGAAAGAAAACATAATAGGAAAGGGGTGGCCGCAGCCTAGTGGGTATATCACCAATTGGTAAGAGTATGTGAAGGCATGCATGGCCGATTAGAGGTGATCGCCTCTATACTCCCAACACAATCAGAAAATAGGGAGAAAAGAACTATTTTCAAAAAAAAAAGAATATTCTCTTTCCATATATATTCAAACAAATGGTTTGGTTAAAATGTAATATATAATCTTTTTTATATAAATGTATCAAAAATATAAA